TGTCCACCAAACATTCGCACTAATGTGGAAGTTTTGCTCCAGGACAAATACGACAATAAACTTGGCTCTGCGGCAGATGGTTGCCAAAGTCTCTCCACAAAGAATGCATTCATAGATAAAAGGCGTGTGGGGGGTCAGAGGTGCCGCTGAATGGACACGTGCCAGGCTTTTGTCCCCAGGCCTCGGTGAAGGGCCCGGGTCACCTCCGGAGCAGTGGGGGTGGGGGTGTGAGGCTTTGAGGGGACAGCCGGTGGACAGTCCCCTCTCAACGCTGAGTCAACGCCCTGTCACTGTCACCGGAGCAGTCCAACAGGACCCAAAAGAACTTAGTCCGGTCTCTGAGGTTGAGGGTCGAGTCAGGGATGCTTTCTTTCCCCTGTATTGTTTGTGGCATTAGCAGCATATGTTTCTGAAGCTAACGACCAAGTTTCAACTTCTAACCCAAAACTTAACTTAAAAGTGGAATCATATTTTGTCAAATATAAACATTTGCTTCATTGAACTTTCAACTGATGAAAGTAATGGAAAGTGATACGGGTGTTGAGGGGGACAAGGCGTATTGTTTATTATTTATTTAAGAAAGGATTGCTCCATTGAGATGGATCACCTCTGTTCCAAGGGGGTCCTTTGATACAAGGATGGCTGATATGCTCAACAATACAATGATAGATAATAGAAACATAGGAACTAAAGCACAGTTAGAAAAGCATATGGATACACACACACGCACGCACACACACGCACACGCACACACACACACACACACACACACACACACACACACACACACACACACACACACACACACACACACACACACACGCACACACGCAGACACACACACACACGCACACACAGACACACACTCACAAACACAAAGATGCACGCACACACACACACACACACACACACACACGCACACACACATTTTGGACAAACCCAGTTTGTCTTGCCACTCATCTCCCACCCCCGCTTATCCACACTTTTACCTACTTTTCTATTCAGAATGTCGTCATGTTTTACCAAAGGTATAAATTTATATAAAGTATACAATAGTTCATAATGTAACCTGTACATGATGTTTTTAAATAAGAGAACAGCACCGACTTGAATGATGCTAATGTTTTTGCTGATCAGTTCAGCAGATAAATGTTTATATCGCACAGTTCATTGACAAGGCAACTCAAAGTGCTTAATAAAAAAAATTCTAAACAATCACAGTACATTAAAAAGTGTTGTATAACAACTAAACAGAACTGTTTTTAACCTGGATTTCAACATTTTCAGGAAAACTGTTCCAACTCTGGGCACCAGCAGGAGTCCAGTCACTGTGCTCCTCAGAGTCCGAGTTGGCTCATATGGCACCAACACGTCACAGATGTACTTTGGTGCAAGGCCATGAAGAGACTTGTAACAAGCAGAGCTGCTTTAAAGTCCACTCTCTGAGCCACAGGAAGCCAGTGCAGAGACCTGAGGACTGGACTAATGTGATTGTACTTCCTGGTTTTGGTCTCGAGCTGCAGCGTTTTGAACATACTGCAGCTGTTTTACAGCTTGTTTGGAGAGATCAGTGAGTAGCCGTTACAGTAGTAAAACCCAATGTTCCCCACCTTTTTAATTCCATGGCACAAGACAAGCTGAAAGTGATCCAAAAATGAAACTCTGCAGCCATAATTTGCAATGCAAAAATCTTTCTAATCTTCTCATAATATATGGACAAGGATCTCCAAGTCTGCTCTTATTTGTTATAATGTTAATATTGGGCTCACAGCTTGTATAAACCCCAAACAAAGTCTTGGCACATCTCACTTTACATGTAATGAGTCTGTATCTTTTACCACATTGAATTACAAGTGCAAACGTTCCCCAGTGTGCACCAGACAAGACATTGAGAGATTTGGAGGTTACCAGCAAGCACCTGACCAGCAGCTCTCCTTTGTCTCTCCTGTGGCTGCACTCGGCCTTTGTGTCATTTTACTGGAAGAGCGTGACTCAGCCCTGTGCGTCTCCGTCCCGCTCCTAATCAGCTATTAATGAGCAGGTGAATGACTCTCTGCAGCCGACCCAACACCCCTGACTCACCGACACATGAAGACCCAGGATGAAATACAAACGCAACTATTTCTGCCACAAATATGAGTCAGCTGCCTGAGCCCAAAGCTGTCCAGATGTAACACGAGACCAAATGTAACCCAGCGGTCTTAATAGTTAATAAAGATATCAGCGTTTCAACACCAACTTTTGGTTTTGGTGTCCTCTAATCTGGGGAGGATACTCAGGGTGGTCATTCGTGAAAGAGAAGAGGACGTTCTGAAAGTAAAGTGGAAAGGAAAGATGACTGATGACTTATTATCAGGTCAAGTGGACTCTTAAACTGAAATTAATTCAAAAACGTATTTTTTGACGGTATGTATTAAATGTATTTAATTTGTAATTCCACAACAGTAGTATTTAATGATTACCAATGCTGAGCTACATAAATATAAATGATGGTGTTATTTTGGATGATAAACTAATATATGTATTACTATCATTAATAATTTTTCAAGAATTGTATTGGTAAAACGATTTCCCAATGAAATACTTACAAAATAAATTGTTGGGTTTGTTAATTCATATTTAATCCCACTTTTTCCCCATTTTTTGTCTCCAGGAAGATAGGGATCAAAGTATTGACACACAAAATAAAAACAAAAAACCCATAGCCAAATACAGAATATTTCAGATGGACGGCCTATCTGTGTGGAGTTTGCATGTTCTCTCTCTGTTCGCTTCGGTTCCCCCTACCGCTAAAAACGTGTGCAATAGTTCAGGGTGAATGATATGTGTTTGTGATATGGGACAATGGATGCAAATGAGCGCGAACACAACAATCCAGAGAGGTGTGTTCATTAACCTGCACTGTCCCAGACAAATAAACAACACACAAATTAATAAAATAAACCAGACATGTGCCGGTCCGTACCGTTTCATTCATAATTGTTCTCTGACTAGACACCAATTTCTATATATCCATTTTCTTTGAAGCGACAGACACCTAACATTATTGCTCTTAAAAATGAGTTTATGCCTTTGTGTAATCAAAATGTTTCATCCTAAACTTGGATTAGGATTAAAAATAATCAATGTTTGCGATTTGAGGATCTCTGTTTCACTTGTTTCCATTTTTTCCTTTTCGTGCTTTGCCATTTGTTTTCTGCCTGAACCAACGTTTTGCCATTTTGAATACTGAATTAAAAGCAGAAAAACACAAAGCAGAGATTTGGAATTTGTTCAAAAATATCTAAAACTATCAATGTTTTTCACTGTTCCTTGTTATAGAGCTAACATGGTACCCTTTAGTTTTCAAGACATTTTTAACCTCTGAAATGTGAAACTTCATTATAGGTAAGGGTTATGTAAGGTTTCTCACTTTTTCATTGCCGATGCACGAGGGTCTAAGGACAGTGGTGATGTTCCAGGACACTTGACAACAAACAACTATTTTGTTTTTTGTTTTTGTTTTTTTTTAACATCTATTACCATTTGTGGACATTAAACTGTTTGATTCTCTGATCTGGGTTGGTGAATCGACAATGTACTATACAGAAGTACATTTATATGAATTCAATTGTCTATTTTTGCATGATTTTGTACAATTTGATATTGAGGTGTCCACAAACTTATGAAACTTTTATGCAATAGGAATCAATTAAAGTACATTGAGCATTGTAGAATCTTCACATTTTGACTCTGGGAAGTTCTTCAGCAGTCAGTTTATTAGATACATAGTGTGGCTTTAAAGTTAGGTACCCCACCTTTAGGTAAAATCCAGATAAAACAAATCATGAAAATAAATTATGGTACATTACTTTCATATGTGCACCTTTTCTTTCTTCCACCATGGACATTAAGACACAGCCCAAATAAATATATACACAAATATATTACAAGTGACTTTGACATTTCACTTTGACTTTGACCAACAACATCCACATTAAGGAAGTTCCCTAATCATACAGAATGGTGCAATATGGGTCTGTGTAATATAAGGTCAGTCGGGGCATGTGCAATACTCGGGTTTGTGCAATACAGATTGTGTTTCTGTCACTGTTTTCTACATTGTGCTTTACTGTCATGCTTGCTGCTTGCTGCTTGTTCTAACATGATGCGATAACTGTTCCTGTCGCTGTCTCTCTGTATATAAATAGTGTCTCTGTTTGTTTTTACTAACTTGTGTGTAACACCAACCTGCCAGGGGGTCTGCAAATGGAAATTAGCCTAAGGCTATAATCTGGCATATTTACATTGGTGAAGATGTTCATTAATATGTATTATTCCTCCTTTCTTAAATAAATAATACAATAATAATAAATCACGTAGATGCATGGATCTTTACATAAAAAACCCCCGAATGTATTATAATGACGGTTTTCTGTGACCTAAATTGAAATTTCCCCTTTGTTGGATTAATAAAAGCATTCATACATTCATTCATCAAAATAGTCAGTTTGTTTCGTGCGTAAGACCTACAGTGGCCTTATTTGACTGTGCGTAAAAGTGTGCCACACGCCCGCGCTTCCCTCTCCCCCTCGCTGGCCTCGCTCCATGACCGGTCCGTACACACACAGTGGGCGGGTCTGCAGATGTATGTATATATATATTTCCCAGAGGGCCTTTCTTTTCTTTTATGTGATCCGGTCGCTAATGCATCGCGCGCTCCGATTGGTCGCTCCCCTCACCGTTTGGCACCCTATCCCATTAGCCATGTGTGATTTATCTGCCACGGAGGATCACGTGGAAATGAAGGAGTGAGAGGGTGGGGGAAAAGGCCCGGGCAGAGGTCACAGAACAGCGGGGATACCATACCACTACCACCACCACCACCACTACTACTTCTACTACTATACTGCTTCAACTACTACATGAGCGCAGAGGAGCCCAGGGCAAGCGCGGGTAGAATGAATGTTTCCCGCTGGATGTAAGCTTTACCCCGGGCTGCTGCTGCTCTGGGACGTGTCATGGCAGAAGGTATGGCGTTTTCTTTGGCACTAGTTTTTCATCAATTGGTTCATTTGTACACCTATAGTTTGCTTCGTAATTTCCGTATGACCTTTTGTGGAATATCAAGATAAATATCCATGCTTATGATGTTGAAGCAATGTTTTAAACAAGTCGCCTGAAGTCGTTGCAAAACTTGGCTTGATTTTAGATTGTTAGTTTTATTTTAATCATGTGTTTTTTAATTCTGTATTTACATTGCAAAAGTACCAGAACACCCACTTAATTCTATATGATTATATGTACCGTAAATTCAGTGTTCTATTAAATTACTTTACGCACAATTTAAAAATGCAACAATGAATGGAAAAGCAAGTATGAAATCAATGAAAGGAAGATCACTAGTGTGTTTGTGATATATGGCAAGATGACAAGTAAAATCAACAACACAACAACATTTATTTGTATAGCATAAATTGTGTACAAGGCAATTCAAAGAGATTTACAAGAGCAGTTACACACACAAATAGAAATGCATTGACTAAACAGATCAAATATGTAAAACTTATACATCAATATATAATATTTTCAAACAATTATTAAATATTAAAACAATGCAGCACAAAAGCATTGGGCTTGAAACTCTTATTAAATTGGAGATAAATACAGAGATAAACACAAAAATAGAATCAGTTGTTGGCACAGCTAATCAGATATGTTTTGATTCGTTTTTATCCTAGTTTTGAACAAGGTTGGTGAAAGATTGAGGCAATTTCAAATATTTTGTGAAGCTGCTCAGAATTATTGGTAAAAAATGTCCAGCTTAATGGAAGTTGCTGTCTTAAACTAGTTGTTCTAGATGGAAAAAACACATTATAGAAGATGAAGAAGCATCATAAAGCTTAAAGTATTCAAAAATGTTAAAAAAAGAGGCTTGTGCTGCTGAATTGCACTTAACTTGTTTGGTCTTTGTTGTCAGTTGCTTTGAATGACCCAGCCTTGAAGTTATATTGAAGATTAAAAAAAAAGATTTGCATCCAGTTGTTTCTTGCATTGTTCTTATCCTTTTCCTTGTGACCATTTGAAAAGAGCAGTAGACGAAGCCGGCGCAACTTGAGAAGCTTTTCAGAGAACGGTCCCCTTTTGGTGTGGGTGACTGCGTCTTTGGGAACTCCTGTGTCACTGCTGTGTCACCTCACACACACACACGCACACACACACACACGCTGGCTGCATCCCAATTCACATAACCTACCTCCTTTGTTATTCTTCCTTGTCCCTTTTATTGAACCGGATGGTATCAATTTGGACCTGGCTCTTTAAAAAATATTATAACAGCCTTAAATTTTACTTACCCTTGGAGCAGCTCTGTCCTCGAAAAGCTATGTTTTTGCTTCTTCTATGTTGCTATTTCTTTGTTTGGCATTGTAAGATTTTAACCATGTACTATATTTAGTTATGAATGTTTTTTAGTTCTCAAAACAAGAACTCTTACGTTGTGCATGCTCACCTCCTCACAGATATGAGCTATAACTCGTCCAAATCCATCCTGCACATTTACTGTAGTTTAGGATTTGCACTGTTCACATAATCCAAAGTGGGTGAGGCAGGATGTATTTCATAAAAAAAAAATATTGTATAATTCTAACCATGGGACACATGTACTTTGATGTAGAGTCAGTATTTCCCAACAATGATATGGTCCCTCCCCTTGACATAACTCAGACGCACAATTCTGCAATGTTTGGTGTGTAGTTTTAGGTCAAGCACACAATGGAAAGGTGGACGCTACAACAAAAAGCAGTATCCTAAGAACAGAGATGGTAAAACAAAGAAAATTCACAGCTATTTGAAAAGGAGTGGGATGAAGTCAATCACTTACTGATTCTCACACCCTCTTTCAACGTCTTGATATTATTAGTTTACTTCCTTTTGGATTCACCCACTTTCTTGTAAAACACAAGCGCTTATATTTTCCTACACATTTACAATATTCTAGCAACATAAACAGACAAACTAGTTTTCCTGTAGTAGCTTGTAATGTGAAATAGATTATATGAGTAAATAACTTTTATTTACTACAGTTTTTAAACAATTAGAGTTCAGCCATATCTACTAAAAATAAGCTAAACATTTCTTTCATTGCTTTAATTAAGGAAAATATATCTTAATTGCACGTTGATATTTCATGCATAATATAATAATAAACCTCTGGAAAACTGCACTGAAATACCCATACCCTTAAAAATACTCATAAATACCTGCCCACGTTCGAGGAGTTTTCTGTGTGGAGTTTGTTCTCCCCGTGTTTGTGTAGGTTTCCTCCAGGTCCTCCGGTTCCTCCTACCCTTTAAAAACACGTACACTAGGAATGAATGTCAAGAATGAGAGAAGGGATGACTGTGTGTCCGGCGTCTCGCTTCTGTCATTGCTGTGTGTGGAAAGTGAATGGAAAAAATGACTGGTACTTTGTTTGTGACCTTGCTCTGAGACATGCGCTATATAAATAATTACTTTCTTACAAACCTCTGTAACAGTGCTGTGTGTGTGTGTTTGGCAGGAGGCAGTGCGCAGGAGGAGGAGGAGGCTGCGCAGGTGTCCCGGGGCAGTGGTCTGTGTAAGTGGTTTAACGTCCGCATGGGTTTCGGCTTCCTGTCCATGACCACTCGGGACGGGGTGACGGTGGAGCCTCCGGTGGACGTGTTTGTGCACCAGGTAAGAGCCCAGACGGGACACTCCACTCTCGGGCCGGCTGGGACCTCTGGGGACGCTGGAGGACTCGCACCTTTTGACGCTTTTGGATTTTAATGTTTCGTTTCTTGTTTTGTTATGCACTTTCGAGTTGTGAATGTAGTAAAATGTGTATGAATCCGTCCACAACCTGCAGTCTTATCAGAAAACATATTATCCTTTGCATACTTAAGGAAGAACCCTGTGAGTCACTATTTGACGCTGTGGGCTGAGAGCTGATTGGCTGACTGAGGGTCCTGCTCCATTTTTCACTCTAAAAATCTGATTTAAAAATGGGATAGAACCAAACAGTTTTGAGAGCGAGGAGCCTGCTCTTTTATGAAATACTGTAGGTCAATTTTTCCGTGATTTCATTTGTTGCTGAAAATTGACAATTTGTTTCTCAGTTGTTTTATTAAATATAAAATGATTAAATTATGATTTCAGTAAGTGGGCTTGAATCCGATTCTGATGAGAAGTGCAGCAAGTGGAGCAGAAATCCTCTAGCGTTTTAAGAAGGATTCAATTGTCTCCCTTATGTCTTGAGCGGCATGGTTCTTGTGCTTCATTGCACGAAGTGTCTGGGTTCGAGTCCAGTCGTTTCAGTGCTGAATTAATCAAAATGGAGACTGTTTCAATATCTCAGAACATGCTTGTTTCCTGTGACATATTGTTCCTTTGGCCATATTCTTCCACTGCATGCAATATTATACAACATATTAAAACATTTATTTATATATGTAGGCAATCCATGAGAGATCTTGTTCATTTTGACTGTAATCTTCCCTATAGACCTTTTTTTTTATTTTTATTTTAGCTTCATATTTGCAGATCGCCAGCAGAAGTTAAGATCTTGTCAGTTGAAGCTGGAGTACGTAACTTTCAAACCAGAGACATAGAATCCATCTAGTTCCCCACTCTCTCAACAGTCCGGCTCTATTACTAGTTTTCACAAGCATGTATTTCTGGCCCCTGTCACATCTTTAGATCAGCAGAGAGGGCCATAAAGTCAAATATGGACACACAGGGCTTTTTCTTTGTATGCAAAAGATAATGTTTTATAATAATATGAAGACTACTTGCTGTGGTCTGATGTTGATTTTTGACTTCACTATTAGCTTTTACTGCCATACTTTTGATTTGAGGACCCCCTCGAAAACAAGATGTTTTCCTCACAGTAAATGAAATTAATGTGTGTATTTTAGAACTATCTGAATTTATTGCCATTTTATCATGACAATCCTCTGGTAGGAACCTTCTGTTTTTGATACCAGTTTTTCAGCGACACGTGAGTTTCGCATCCAAGTTCACATGTAAACTTGCATCTATGGATAAAGTTTCTAGTAAAATCCTATTTAATTTATATATGTATATTTAAGCGAGGACATAGTGTGTGTATAGAATATTTCAATGCATTTTTTCAGTCTCTAATGTTTCTAATTGTAGTAGTAGAAAGTAAAGAGGAGAAGGAGTGTTGTGGTTCTCCTCTGATAGTAAGAGGTTAACAGGCTAACGTCCAGAGAAACAGGCCTCTTCCTCTTGACCGCCTCTGCTCTTTGTCCTGTGGTCATCAAGCCTCAGGGGCCCACCCAGACCTGAGCTGCCCCCTCCTCCGTAAAGGCTCAAGTTTCCCAGTGTAAATTGTAAACCTGCAAAGACCAAAGCTGTGAGTTTTTATTTATGTGTGAGTCAAGTGGAAGAGTAGAATGTGGTTATTTTGGTCAAAATTACTATTGCAATTTCTTTTGTTTTGATATTCAGTCTTGTATGGCTGCAGAACTTACAAAATCTTTCGGTCAATGCGTTGTTTCTCTTGCTTTTGACATACTTTTTATGTAAGCAGTCAAATTAACATTATGCAAGTATTCAAAATTGATGAGGAGCTGCCTTTGCGATGTGAATACTGTTGACGTACCAGCGTTTATGGTCACCTTTTTTGAGGAGAGCTTTGAGAGTCCGTTGTGTGTCTTTTGTTGTGGCCTGTGAGTTGGAATCCCTCGCCTATTGTCAAATTGAATTCAATTGAACGTGACGTATGTACCCTGTGTATACTACTGAGACGAGCACAGGGAAAAGTTATGTTGATATAGATACGTGATTATTTTGACGAATCTCTGCAACTCACTTACTGTATTTTGATCATTGTGGTGCCGCCTGCAGGTGAAAATCAGACTTCTGAATCTAAGCAGGGCAGGGCCTGATTAGTACTGTGATGGAAGACCTCTGGGAACACCAGTGGAGCGGCTGTAAGGTGCCAAACTGTTGTGTACTTAGGCAAGACACTTCACCCACCTTGCCTAGTGTCTGGAGTATGTCCTTGGAGGGGCCGATGGTACATACGGGTTGCCTCAGTCTGTCCCAGGGCAGCTGAGGCTATAGTAGTAGTTTAGAGTGAGTGAATAATGCCTTGCTGAATGTCCAAAAAAGCACTCTATGAAACCAATGTATTTTGATTAAGTTGTGTACTTATTGTGATTAAGTACACAGACCCTCTGCACATGTTTCATTGTTTTATTTTATTTATGTTACGTGAGACAAAAGCAGGAAAAAATGCTCTGTGGAAAATAATTGAATCGTGCTGCTGCAGTTGAACCTGTGTGAAAATCAACCAGCCATTTTATTTACAATTACTGTTCCAAAGGTAAAGTTATGAGTAAAGTTACAAGACGTCTTTGAAAGCGTCGCAAGGCTCTATCTGATTGATCCGTCTGAGCAGAGTGGTCAGACCTGTTTGGAAGTACTGAGGTATAGTCAGTTATTTTTTTTTGCTCTGTAGTCTCTTTTGTAAACCTACTCTTTGTAACATTTCACTTAACCCCACTCACCCTTTGCCCCTCCCTTTGGCAAAATACACACAATACTCATAAATAAAAACAGTAAGTGGTCCTTGCAGAACACCATACTGTGGACAAAGTAGGAAAATCTATGTTATACTTTTTATTTTTTTATATATTATTAATGTTCAAACACATTGGGCCAGTCAGCGCTGTGAGGATGCGACCAGAACGGAGCAGGTGCAAATACTGTAAATATGGCAACTTTCTATATGTCTGCACACTAATTGCTTTAAATAAATATTTTTTTTTATCAATATTGCAATTTTTAAATGTGATCCATGTGCGATATACTGTATACATGCTAGATTTATTATTGAAATGTATTTATGATTCAAATACATTTCTTAAGTCTATTGTGAAAAATTACATCCCAAAGTTGAGATTTAATAACATGAAACACATTTATTTGTGAAATATCTTGTATATATTTTATTTTTGAATGGAATGTAGGCCTGTATGGAGGAATTGAGTTTGTGTTGAGCATCTAAAAGACTTGGAATAATGATGGAATAATTCTCAAAACGATAATACCACTATCTTAATTTTATGCACACGTGTCTTCTTCAAAATAGGCAAGACAAGTTTTTTTGTATAGCACAATTCAAGGCAATTCAAGTCTAAACAAAACAAGATACACTATTCCTTTGAAAATGAGGTTCTATGATATAAGGTAAAGACCAGAATATATTTTTATCAACTCTCCTTGAATGACTTATTGTTAAAACAGTCCAATGTTATTTTATAAACTCAGACCACATCTGAATTTCAAAGTAAACTTCAATACATCTAACAGTTTTTGGTGGTTTCCTTCTCCCCCCCTTTTCCCCACACCCCTCCCCCTCACTCCCCCTATAAATGCGTTCCATCTGAGGCCTGTGGGATCATTAGGACCACAGCTCTGGCCACTTGCATTAGCATAATACAAGCTTCAAACACAGGAAGTGCACAGGACCACCGCAGAGACCGCAGCTCCTAAAAGGCCTCTCCGCTGCTTTTGTAGATCATCTTATTATTATTAAGTCCAATAAAAAACACTGACCAGACTGGATTTGAGTTTATTGTTGCGGTCAGTTTATTAAATTGTGTAGATGTTGAAATGGTGGTTGAATGGTTGCATCTGGTTGGGTTTCTATTTTTGAATGTGTATATTGGAATCATTCATACAAAATATTCATATGAAGAAATGATACCAATGTGAACCAGAAACAACACTTCCAATGAGTTCAAATACAATTAGTTGTTATATTTTGATATATTTCTTTTTGATACCGGAACGTTGTTGGCCTCATTCCCACTGCTCAAAAACCCTGGGTCGCCCTGTCCTTACACAGAGCGACATGAAACTGTTTTTTATGTATTTATGTATTGCTTCACGTGGATGATAAACTTACTATAGCCTTTTATAAATCCTCCTGGGTCGTTGGACCAAGAGTCTGACGTTTGTTTTTTCTTCCCCATGGTGAAAAGCTGACACAGGTCCAAACAACACAGCAACCCTCTCACTTTGGATCACCTGTACATATTGATAATATTATAATTGGGTAAAAAAAAGTACAAGTTCCAGAATCCAAATCAGATTAGATAGATTAGACTTTGGGCATATTTGCAAAACGGCCGCAATTACACATCTTGTCATCACTCATATTTAATTGTATATATATATATTTCTATTTTAAACATTCAAAAGCCATAATTGGATCAAAAGGCAATAAAAATGATTTGTGTTGCTATTATAAGTAACCCGAAGTCACAAACTAGAAATTGGCTTTGGCCTATGAAGCAGGTTGTGAAAAGACATGCATAAAAAATCCTAATAGAATTATAATATATAAATACACACAATAGACATGTTTCAGCGTTGATTATCGATATGTGACAAAAATAGGTAGTAGGTCCGTTGGAATAGTCTGATCAAGTCTCCTAACAAGTGTAAGAGGACACAGACACACGCAAACGCACAAAAACAAGAAAAACAGAACACACCATAGAACCACGACGCCATCTTGGATCATGAATGTGCCAGTGTGGATCGGATGTTATTGACAGCATGTAACACGCATAGAAAGACTTCTACAAAGCTACTTTTATAGGTTCCTTATAGGTTCCTTGATGTGTACTCTAGTTCATCGAAATTTCCCCACTGTGGGACGAATAAAGGAATTCTTATCTTATCATACTCACAAAATACAAAAAATGTAAACGTAAAATGTGTGTGTGCTCTCGTTGTTCCAGAGCAAACTGCACATGGAGGGCTTCCGCAGCCTACGAGAAGGAGAACCGGTGGAGTTCACGTTCAAGAGGTCCTCCAAAGGCCTGGAGTCTCTGCGGGTGACCGGGCCAGAAGGAGCACCCTGCCAGGGCAGCGACCGCAAGTCTAAAGGCAGCCAGAAACGCAGGTCCAAGACTGACAGGTGCACCACACACACACACACACACACATTGTACACCACCACATATGAGGCTTTTTGGGACTTCAGGTAATGATGATGATGATGATGATGATAATTATGATGATAAATTACAATAATTATTATGTGATATGATAATGATAAAGCGATTGATAGTGATGATGATGATAACAATGATGATGATGACAATTATGATTATGATTGTGATGATGATAATGATATTAATAATGGTGATAATGATAAGGATCATAATTAATTATTAAAAACAGTTAATTGTAGGCTGTTTTAATAGAGTAGGAGTGAGTTCCACATCAAACAAAAACGGCCATAAAGTTCAACATCTTATTTGTTGGCGCACATCAACTATGATCCAATCGTTTTCTCATAAAGATGTGTAGAAGTGGTGCCAATAGTAGGAGGGACTTTCACACATGAGAACATTATGGCAGGTTCGTCTAATCTCAATCAAATAATGAGCTTGGAAAAACGTTTTGACATTTTCAACATTTCTTTCTAAGTAATGCTTCTTTCCCATAGAGTAGCATTGGAGTTACATTTACACACTCAGTCATTTCAGAGCGAGCCATGCATAGCGAAAGATAATCCAATGATCGCTAACTTCAACTGAGTGGAGCTTGCGGAGTCTGTTGTTTCACTGAGGTTGTGTAAAGGGGCAGTGTGCAGATTGATACGGCAGGACTGAAAAATGGAAGCGTTTCTTTATCTGTATGTGTATTTAAATCGTTGCAGTTGTGTGATGCCAGATCAACTCTTGATGTTTTTAAGTCTGACTGTAGAGCGGGGGCCGTCACTCGGGCTTGTGTGAAAATGCTACTTTCATTATCTTTCCTCAGAACACCTGATCAATCGGCAAACGCTGTACAGCTGTTTTCTTTGTTCTATCCCTTTGGTGGATGCTGCTGTGTGTCCATGGGCAAGACACTTCACAGCTGCCTCGGTCCCAGTGGCATCGTACACTGGTGTATTACTGTTTGTGTGGATGGGTGATTGAAGCGCTTTAAAGGCCTTGAAAAGATAGAAGTCCTGTTTAAATGAAACCATTTTGTCACAGCCCATCAGCCAAAATGATTCTCCAACATGTATTGTGTTGTAGCTGAAACACTGGATGGAAGTAGCGGTTTTGGAATCTTCAATTTCAATTTTAATAAATGTATTTGTGATTATGCCTAAATCACAACAGCAGTCATCTGGAAGACTGGACATCCAATTATAACAAACGCATAGGATCCATTGGACCATAGAGCGCGGGACGGCCACTGTCCATAAATGGTAATAAATGTCCTGGATCATCACTGTCTTCCTGAATCTTCTTAACATATCTTAACATTCGAAAATTCAAAAACAATTCACATTTTGATGATGGTATGAATACTTTTGACCTTTTACTAAAAATAAATCTTAAACGTATGATCCCAGATTCATTGGCCAAACATCATGTGTATGTCTTACTTCAAAGATCAAACGGAGCGATTTTATTCCGAACAGGCAAACCCCAAACACCTCTGCATTGTTTGGAAGTTGGGTCGGTTACAGAGCATTTCATTAACATTTCTGAAGGTGCGTTGAGTCCAATCAATATATGGATGTGTGGTTTGTTGTCTTGGGCTTGGCAGTTAAACAAGCTTTGGGCTGTGCTTCCTCCCAGCCCCCTGTGACTGTGGAGGTGATAAACATATGTGCATACTCCCATTGGACCACACAAAAACATGAAACTTGAAAGAATACAATTTGAGTGTTGATTTTTTTTTCTAACAGATTCTACTCTTATATCAAACAACAAATCCATGCCACACGTGGACCTAATATTCTGTTTGAGTTTTTATTTTATTTAATTTTTTATATAATTTGACTTACTATTTTTTTTATTTTTTTTACTCCTGAGATCAAAACTATAATTGAGATTTTTATTTATACCAGATTTATATTTTGATAGCTCTTGTTTCTGATTCATTTTTCCCATCATTAAAAAACAAGCAATGACAACATTACATACATATACACATTTACACACATACGCCGCACATCCATACATACATGCACATTGCACGCAAACACACATACAACAGTATATTTATTACACTCACATACACACACATATTCTGGTCTCAATCAAGTAATGCTTTCGTTGATCGGACTAATAATCTGAGAAAAAAAACTGTGTAGTTGTCAATCCAGATGCTTAACTGCAGGTGCAAAGCAAAAAGTGTTATTTCAGAGGGATATCCGTTTGCTCCAGTAATAAGAGCCGCTGTCATGTTTACACACACGCAAACCCAGGATCAATATCCCCCTCAACATTTGCAAAAGCACACTTCTACATCCTGAAGCGAAATCAGACGCACATTCACGACACATTAGCACACATGATGTCTTAGCTTTCGCTCATAAACTGGGAGTAAATCTTTGTTCGAATCCAAGCAACAGAGAGAAAACAATCAAAAGAGGAAGAAGGGAAGCTGAAAGTGCGTCATTTGTATTCATTAATCTTACCATGCAATCTTGAGTAGTAAAGTATTACAGTATATAACAGCTTTCACACAAACAAAGCAAAGTACTTAAAAACCAATTAAACTGAACAAATTCAATACTAAAGGCAAGGCAAGTTTATTTGTATTGCACAGTTCATACACAAAGCAACTCAAAGTGCTGAACAAAACAAGATAGAAAATATTAAATAATCCTTCAGTTATATGCACAGCTGTCCGGAAACCGTTTTTAACCTGGATATGAAAATTGTCAAAGTAGAAGCCTGCCTCACACTGCAAAAAAATGAAAAAATATGAAGTAATGAATGCGTGAAGCAAGTGTTTTTATCTTGATTTGAGTACATTCTTACTGTTTTAAAACAAGATATGCCAATAGATCTTTTTAAAACAAGACTTTTTTGCTTGTTCCATTGGCAAATCTTGTTTTTTAGACAGTCAAAATGAGCTCAAATAAAGATAGACCCATTTATTACTTTACATTTGATCATTTTTTTGCCATGCACATTTTCAGGAAGACTAGATTTTAGCTGCATAAATCCATACTAGCATACTACTATGCAATGCTAGTTTTGAGCACAGATTCTTGCTGAGGCTAATTTCAAATTTTTCCCGTAAAACACACACTCCCCCTTTGCTTTGTGTTTTTGGAGAGGGGCAGATCTCATCCGTCTAATTGAGAGCAGATGCACGCGGCTTCAGAGGTGATGGGGTCAGCGCTGCCACGGAAACCGGGAGGTGGGGGTGTAAATGAAGTGAAGGGTCCGGGTGCAGAGGTCACTCAGCCCAGTGGTCAAACAAAAGGAGGGCTACCTTTTTTTTCGGCCTCGGATCGATACTGACCATCACTGACCGCTGCGGAGGGGGAGGGGCAGATTCGGACACATCGGTCACCCAATGTGCTGAGGATTAGGGTTTGTGTTTTGATATTGGGACGGGATGTTTTGCAGAGATATTGTGGTATGAAAAAGGCACCAATAATTAATTTCATTTTTATTTTATCCATCCATTTTCTTCCGATTTCTCTGTTGCCGGGTCGCAGGGCATGTAGTCTAAGAAGGGGTGCCTAGATTTCTCTATCCTCCCCATTTATTTTATATTTAATTGAAATATATCTACACTATAAGAAATAAAGAATTTGAATTTGATTTATATAGGGTCAAGTGACAATCGGGTTTTCCCACTTCCCTTTGTCATGTTGGATTTTCTTTATAAAGAGTTATGTGGAGAAGGTTGCTAAATATTTCTTTCATTTTAACATTTCCACTTCTTAAGATGTACAGGTGAAACTTGTAAACTTAGAATATTGTTCAACAGTCAATTTTACGTCCATTTAAAAGTCCAGGGATGTCAAACTCTTATCTTTTTTTAGAAATTATTTCTCAAACCTTACTATTCATTTTCACCATTGATGGTAATGGGCGACTTGGCATGACTTGTTTTTATAAAAAAATGTAAACTAATTGTATAAGGAAAACAACCATGTTAATGTATTCCAACATTTTAACCCAACACATATTTCTAAATTAAATAGACAGATCATTGTTCTATCAGTCTTCTTTATATTTGGTCCAGGTTTGGTTCAATCCAAACAATGAACTCCTTTTCATTCTGAAAAAAAATCCAGAAAATATCTAAACTCATGTCAGATAAAAAAAGAATCTGTCAAAATACATCCATAACGTAAACAAACAACTAAACAATAAAACCACTTGTAATCTTTCAGCTATTTTTTGGCCGTCGACCAAACGACTTTCACATCCCTGCAGTACATGACATTCATTAGAGGCAAATTGAGATATATCAGGCTATAGGCCTTTGCTATAATGTGCACATCTCAGAAACTAGAATAGTTTGAAAATGGAAACAAAGCATATGCCACTCTGCATGTAATAAGTCTATACATTTTTGGCTTCACATTGAAAAACAGTTTAGCACAAATTATCTTCTGTTCATGTTATATTCTTACTAAGTAATCTTTATTTAAATAGCGCATTTTTACAGTTTGTTTCCATTTTCGCCAGACACAGCTACTATGCTCACTATGAGAGACACTATGATCTGTAACCCTGGCGCAGTGGTTAGCACTTGTGCTTCACAGCAGGAAAGTCCAGATTTCCATTCCACCTACAGACTGGGCCTTTCTGTGTGGAGTTTGCATGTTCTCCCTATGCATAGTTTTCCTCCAGGTCCTTCTGTTTTCCTGTTCCTCTAAAAAGATATGCAATAGATCAGGGTGAAGGAGAGTGTGTTTGTGAGTGCGACTTTACGAAAGTTGTCGATTCCTCAACAGCAGATCAAACAGTTTGAATATTGGAGCCACATAGGAGCCATTGGTCCATTGTGAGCGGGATGACCACTGTCCATAAATGTCCTTAAAAGTCCCGGATCATCACTGTCCTTAGACTCTCCTGCATCCTTTCTTTTTGGATCGGCTTTACACGCTTCAAATGCAAATGCTCAAAACCAACTGAGATAAGGAACAAATATCTAATCCATAATGTTTGTCATGAAATTCTTTCTGGGGGAGGAGGGAGAGGTCAGTGAGCCTGAGGAGAGGCCAACCAGATCGTCCATAAAATCAATAGTTTGAGCAGCTTGTTTAAAAGAGCCCGATCCTGCTGCTGTTTCTTCCACCTCATTCTTTCGCTAATAGGATTTCACTTAGCGCACAATTGTGAGTGTAACTGACCATCGAGCTGTTGTGGACTCAACAACAATGGTGCACTTATTGAACAGTGTTTTCAGAGTTTTATTACATTACATTTATTGCATGTATTTATTGGAAAACAAAGGGGGTCGGAGGATACTGCAATACATGCAGGAAACTAATGTTTGGGTCAACGTGATTTGACTAAAGTCGTCATTGCATGTAAAATACACGACTGCCATTTCTAGTAAGGTCACATTATTATGTAAGGCTCTGTCCTTGTTCTACAGTCTGAGTCCTGGATCTCTAGCCTGTGAAGTGAGTACCCTCCCGATGCAGTAGTATAAACATTTATGGACATTGGCCATCCCTCTATGTGTTTTAATATATTGCAATTCCTCAGTTTGAACAGTCTTATTCTCTGGTCTGGTGAATTGACACATTTGTAATGTCCTCAGACGACTACTGCAGTGATATAGGGCTTTACAAAAATAGATCAAATAGAATTTAGCAAAAACTCCAAAACCCATGGGCACCTTTTCCTTACACAATGAGCCATACAGGTGTCAGAACGACTCGGCATATAGCAGTAATATAGCCTGTTGGTTACATGTGGCTCGCAGGAAGAGGGTTAGGAGCCTTGAAGCTGTGTTTGGGTGAGTGAAGCTCTTTCCGTCAGAGTTTGGGTTGTTACATGCGCTGCTCTTTCCTTTTATAAAGTTGTCCGTTTAACAAATATGTTTAAAAAGGTGTACATTGCTCCAGTGGATGGGTAACGTCACCATAGTCCATTACAATGTGAACATAATGGTCTTTCAGATTTTTTATTTTTATCACATCATATCCAATGTAGGGATTATTTCTTATGACATATTCTGAATTGTGTCGGTTTTAATTGTAAACATGCCAGAATTATGACCTTGCCCTTTCCTCAGCTGCTGCTCTGTGTGAAGCTGCCTCACCTAACAGTGGTGAATGGCGCCCCCGTGTGGTCCTATCAGTCACATGGCTTCTATAACTATTACTCGTTCTATCCATTCAGGATTCTATACAATATCTCACGAATATCCTAGTTGTTAGTCATGAACAATGCTGATAAATGCTCCAGGATCCTTCTCTCAATGAGGGCCTCCCTGAGGTCTCTCACATTTTCTTCTTTCTGTGTGTGTTTTCTATTTTTTGTTGTTGTTCCGTGCCCGGACATTATAGGGCATTTACGCCCATTGGTCATCCCTCTCCCATGCTTTTGTTGTTATTGCATTTCCTGTGTTTGAACTGACTCTCTGACCTGCTGTTAGTGAATCTACAACTTTTTCTAAATCCTCAGAGATGACAGCTGTTGTGATTTAGGGCTATACAAAAATGTTATTGAATTGTAGAAATAGAGCTTTTTTTTCAGAATGGATTAATGGCAAAAACAATACAATATCCAAACATACACAAGTATAAACACAAAGACTGTCTCTCAAGCTTGTAACGTTTTCATACATCTGTCGATATTTTGTTTTTCCCCTCCCTCCAGATGCTACAACTGTGGGAGCCCAGGCCACCACGCCAAAGAGTGCCAGCTGCCCCCCCAGCCCAAAAAGTGCCACTTCTGCCAGAGCCTGTTGCACATGGTGGCCTTGTGTCCGCTCCGTGCCCAGCAGAGGGCCGTGGCGGTGGAGGCTGAGGCAGAGGAGAGCCAGGGCCCGGAGCACCTGGAGCACACAGAGATGGACTGACCGCTCACCTGGACCCGGCACAGGAGAGCTGGAGTGGACCGAGCGGAGGGGGGGGACAGGTGGGGTCATCAGTTGCAGTGATCAGGAGATCCCCGGACAGCTGAATTAAAAAAATATATTATCATATCATATTTTCATGTGACGATCTAAAAGCGCAAAAGAACAAATGTTATTCTTTAGTTGTGTTCATTATTGAAACACAGGCAATGGGAATATTTACTTTGGCATTTCATGTTTTAGAATGGGAAATTAATCAACCAATCTAACGGTTTCTCAAAGAATCAGAACAACAATAAAATAAAAAAAATCATCTGGTCTTCCTCATAGATTAAGTTATTTGTTTCTTAAGTGGATCATATACAAATAAACATGTAGTAGTGAAACACCTCCACCTACTGGTAGAAGGGGAGTATTACATTCTGACTTTGCATAAACATCTAAAATGGTACGATGTTATTGAAGTAAAAATACATTAGCAGTTTCTAACACAAATTATCCTCCAACCAACTGTGGCATCTAATTAACCCTTTAGGCGCCAAGGAAGCAGAATGCTGAAACCAGGACACTATACAGCGGCCTGGCTTCACACTAACAACATCTTTCTCACGCCTAAAGGGTTAAACAGAAAAAGTCTTTATTATGTTTTACGATTGACTTGGCTAAACTCGGAGTGCGCCTGAACAAAGGAGGTGGTCTTTTTTGGAATGGTTGCTCCGTATTTCTTTGTTTTCTGTTTCTTTTTCTCTTCCTGCTTGACCATATTTCCCATTCACTATTTAGAAAACTACATGCAAACTATACTTTCCTACAAAACTATATTTCAAGCTCTAAATCATGAAATGCCAACATTACTCAAGACCAGTGCGTTCCATATACTGTAGAGATGGGAGGAACATCATTGCAACTGGGGAACTTCAGGAAGCCTACAGCACCAAGACTTATCCGTTTAAAAAAAACCATCTAAAACAAATTAAAAACGCATTCCACAAATTGGTGCGTTTTCATATTTCTTCAGATAGTAAATCTGTTGAGCCCTAAAGGTGCTCAAATTACCAAGGATTTAACACTGGCTTGACAATGCTAAGTAGCCACAAGAATCTTGACTTTGAATTGATTGAATGTCTGTCATAAAAAATCAAAATGGTTCTGCCCTAGTATCAGTGCTCCTTCTTAAAAGCTTCTGACAAGTCTGAGCGTTTGAATGGAACAATCGTGAACGTTGCTCTCTCTGAATATCTCCTCCTCCTCCCGGCACGGCAGCATGTAGCAGTGTGAGTGAGAGGAGGGTCTAGTTCGAGTTCTGGTAATGGCATCCCTGCTTTAAGTGTGTGTAGGGTTGGGTGTAGGGTTACTGACCGCAGAGTTCAGGCCGTACACTTTGGAATCATCCATCAAGAGAAGTTGCAACAATCAATAATGTTAGAAGAAGAAGAAGGAAGAGTACAGTGTAGGTTTGATATCTCTACAGACATAAGCAGAAGTTAGCGGTCCATGTACAGCTGCGCTATGCCATTAAAGTCCACAATGAGAATTGTTGTATTAAAACCTACTTAATACTATACATTACATATGGATTATTATGTTATTAATGTTTGTGCTCACGTAAATACATTTTCTCTATTGAGATATTATTTATTTAAATCTGGGGAAACTAATCAAGCCACCAAAACACAAATAAGATATTAAATTCTTTAATTTTGCACAGCCCTAAATCACAACAGCAGTCATCAAGACTTCACAAAGTTGTCGATTCTCCAACAACAGATCCGAGTATCAACAGAAAAAATGCATTGATAAAAAGCACGTCAAACATTCCATTTAAATACACACATAAATGAATTAAAAAATGCATAAATACATTAAAAAATGCCCTGTTGGCCTCTGTCACATCTCTAGATCAGCCTTTCCAGACAGAAAAAAAACCCCACCCTTGCTCAGCTTACACCAAAAATGACAACAAAATTCATCAATTATGCTTGAATTTAGTTACATTTATTAAGACATTTGTACATTTTGTCAGTTTTAAAACAAGATCCCCCAAACTGGGACAATTACAACTGTCCTGTTTCCTAAGAGACAAGGAAATCCACCCTTAGAATGAGATCATTTTACTTGAAATAAGAAATATTTGCTCGTCCCCATTGGCAAACGTAGTCCTCAGACATCAAAAATATATACTTGAATCTAGACGAAAAGTGTTAAGTCGAGCAATAATAACCTTAAATAATCACCTTTTCTAAATTATCTGCTATTGTATTCTCTGTATGGCTTGGCTCTGGCCTCCAATACCACAGTATCTCCCATTTTAATTCAATATATTTGTTAACACTATAAATCAATATGTACACTATTCTGTACTTCTAACCTTCAAAGACCAAAACATCATCTCGCCATTTTGTCATGCAGTATTCTCAATCAACTTGTAACACACAATTTCATAACATTGTGGACTTTAGTTTGCATAAAGCAGCTGTACAGTTTTGTGCCTTGATTTGGAGGAGGAAAGGGAGGTATATAAGGCAAATTGACTCATCGGCTTCCGCTCCCTCCTACACCAAAAACACTGCAAAAAGTCTATACCAGGCTGGTTTTATCACGCCGTCTTTGATTGAATGTAAATGATCTCACTCCTGAATCGAACCCGCAAAGATCGATATGCGAGTGAATGTCGCAACACAAGTGCCAGATGCCTCCGGTGCAGGGAGCGGACTGAAAATAAAAAAAAACATATACAGTACATATTATTCCTACAAATACTCTTTCTAATAGGGAAGAAGAAGAAATGTTTATACCGCCATTTTGTATGCAAGACCTGTAATGATTGTACGGCAGATATGTCCTGTCAAAAATGAATGTTTCCACGCGTTTTTTTGGTGTTTTGAAAAGACTGCACTGGGAAAAATATACAATTTGAGCCGAGTGTTGAAGGGAAAGACTGGTACTTCTATATAGGTCTTACAAATACGTGGGTTCTGCAGAGATTATAATGGATTTTTATGGCGGGTAAAACTTGTACGAAAAGGCCAAAACGATGTGAAATGTCTTTTTAGATGGACTCAGGGAAAACTGTTGGAACTTTTGCATTGAGCTTGTAGCTTTTTATAGGATTAAAATTGTGGCACTGAATAATTATGTAGGCTGGAAATTTTTGTTTTGTGATTGTATCTGTTTATTGGGATTTTTGTATTCAAAAGTGCACCAAGGAACCTTTCACACCAGAGGCTTTGAAGAGATTATTGCTAAGGTGGCATCCAAATTCCTTATTTTTTTTAGCTCTTGTCTTGCATATCTTTCATTATCAGGCTTTCTCTGTTACTAGTATTTTTTTTTTTTAAACATGGTAGGCCCATTTATGCACCTATATCTGTTTTGTATCTCTCTCTCTCTCTCTCTATATATATCTCCATCTCTGTCTCCCTCTCTGTCAGTGTGTGTCTGTTTCTGTCTGTCTTTTTTTTTCTCCATCTGTCTCTTTATCTCCATCTCTGAATCGTTTCATCTCTGTATCTCTATCTCTCTCTCTATATCTATATATATATATAAATTATTTTACAGTTTCTCCATCATATTTTAGGCTGGCTTCATACAGGGTTAATCATGGAATACATCTGCTTGGTACACTACAAGTTCACTTCTTGTCCAAACCAGCCTTTGTAATAGTTTGCCTGAGCAATTTTAAATTCGAATGAAGAAAGTATTTCTCCCACAAATATAGAAAAAAGCCTCTCCAAAAAGCATTATTTAATCAAATCAAATGTTTATTGGTTTAGAAGTGGACTCGCAACGTGCATTTATCCCAGAGCCCAGGGCCTTGGAGGAAATTAAGTTGAATAACCCTGGTTTAAAGTGAAATGTGGATTCTTTTGAATACTTTTTAAATACTACGTAGATTAAAATAAATAAATACAATTCTTCCATGAAAAATAGAAAGGGGAAGGAAGGAGGTATTTTTTTCTGACTTTGGATGCAGCCTGTATTACACATTTTGTTGCATATTTGGGAAAGTGATCTTGCATTTATTACGTTATGGCTGTTTGTATCACGTTATGAGCAAGGCCACCCTTTCACAGATCTAACCAGTAAACTGTCTCTCCTCTTCTCTGAGAAACCAATAATAGACTTGCCCTAAGAGAGAAGTTTCAAAGTGCACTTTTGAGCAAAAACTCCTTTAAAATGGTGCAGTAAAACAAAAAAGCACATAGAACTTTTTACACAAGTTATAATGAACGCAAAACATGTCACTCCCTGAAAATTAGCTTTTTTTATGTGAACATATTTATTTATTTATGCCCTTATTTACTGACACCTTTTTGACATTGGTCTGATTTACCAAACAGGGTCAGTCACATATATTTAATTTAATTTGATTTAATTTAATGTGATCTCTAGTCTAGCCTAATCTACTTTACTCTGGTTTTGTTTTGATTATTTTTATTTATTTAAGTTTTTATAAAGTTTAATTTAATAAACATTTATTTTGTATGTATATTTTTCTTTTCCTCCCAAACTTCTGAATTAATCTTACGTTGAAAATATTGCGTTATGCTTTTCATTTATTTATTTCTATGCACTCATGTCAGTTTTTTATCAAAAATTGTCTAAAAAGGTGTTCTAATCAGTCCACAACGATGTAAATACGTAGTTTGTCATAGATAATTGATGCATGTGTGAAGTGTAGGTATTTTTCTAGATTTTTTAAATAAAACTGGACGTATATGGAGGAATTGTTTTGGCCTATAAAAGCATTATTACTGATGTTCATTTTACTGCCTTACAACTATTCTCTCCATGTCTTTTTAGCGCTGTTAGAATAGTTTCTTATATCGGACCGAGACCAAAGCCGTCTGGTCCAAACTCTATACAAGTCTACCTCAGGTTGTGTGGGACTGGGGCCATGGAAACTCCACATGCCCTATGTCTGTTACTTTTCTGTTTGTTTTTGTAAATGTTGTTGTATACGTTTGGTTTATTTTGTATTTTGGATCACAGAATGTATTTTTGCTCGTCGCTGCTGTTAAACCAAAGAAATGTGAGTCGAGTCGTGTCCAAAGTGTTTGCAATCGTCTTTCTTACAATAACTGAAAAGGACACTTCTGATGCTCAGGGACCTATTCTGCTCATTGTATTTATTTTGTTATCATGTAACTGGTTTGAATGAATTTTGTGTAGTAATAAAATAAACTTTTAATAGCTTTTTGGGTCAATGTGTTTTTTTGCAATGTCCTGTTTTCTCTAAAGCAGGACTGAGAAGTGAAACAGAGACCATCCTCAATCAACCAATCAGTGCTCAGCCCTAAGCATAGTGACTCACAGGGCTCTTTTTTACAAGTCTGCCAAAAGAAAGTTTTGGTCTCACTATTTCCTTTTCTTTCACAAGGCTCTTTCAGTTGGGACAAATACATTGTATTGAATATTACTACACTATAAGATTTATATAGAGGAAATAGTGCACTGTGCAAGGTTAACAGAAGTTTGTGGGCTAATAATAACTAATATTTATAGCAGACACCGAGATATACTAAAATAAGACTCATTTTCAGGTAGTCATCACCTTCATTTGAAGGGGCAGACATGAAAGACGGTTTGTTATTGCACAACTGACTATAACAGCCATAGATCCATGATAACAGAACAGAACCATAGCCGGTGGACAGGTGCAGGAAATGAAGGTAGTCAAACAAGCATACTTCAAAATACAACTTCAAGTATCACAACAGCACAAGTAGTAGTAGAACAGTAGGAATGGGGAGCACACAACACGAAATAAGTGAATATTATGTAAAGCAGAAGTATATTTCAGCATCAGTCACACGTAAAAACTCTTAACATTTCAGAAGTTCCAGACCAATACACGTACAACCATAGCAGCAGAGCTCTTTTATGATCTTATTGTGAAAGGTCTGAGCGGAAGCAGTATGTCCGCGTGCACCACCGCTGCCGCAGCTGCACGCGCTCCCGTCTCCAGCGCGAGACAGACGTGCTTAGCGTGCACGTGCACTGCGCCACGGTAATGGCTGCCAGCGAGAGACAACAAATGAGCCTCCGCCACACGCTGTAAGGTGAGACCCACTCCCCACACCACCTCCACGGCCGCCACACAGCCTACACAGCCCACAGCGGACACCCCCTCTGCCCCCACTGCCCCCACTTTGGCAGGTGTGCGCGTGTGTGTACCTGTGTGTGTGTATGTATATGTGTGTCTATGTGTGTGTGTGGGGCTTCCTATTGACACTTATGTATGCACATTATAGTGTCCGTAGCTGGGCTGGACACACTGCCCTCTCTCCCGCCTGCTCGCCCGTAGCCGCTGCCCTGCTCGGGTCTTCCACACAGAGCCGTCTGGAGTTCGCACAGCCTGTTGGTGAAAGCTGGATTCTTTGTTAGCTGCTGTTAACGTGATTAGCTAACGTTAGCAGACCGACAACATTGTTCACAGTCAGTGGCCAGGCCCGGAGCTGGAGCCAATCAGTCCGTGCGGGGAGTGCCCAATTAGTCCCGTTAGCAGCGACTGTCCCCGCGGCTGTCAGCGCATGGATCTCTCGCTGGTAATAAACAAGCAGACATGTTCACGCCAATGGGGAAAGTGACAGGTGGTTCGGAAGTGATACAAGTGCTGCTTATGTTATGACCTGTTCCTCTTTATGTACGTATTATTTTTTTATTGTGATTATAAGATGTGGTTACAACTTCATTATTGTCCATTGCAATTCATTGTTTTTGCTTTGTTCCATACAAGGAATGATATGTTGGTTTGTTTTAGTTAGTTCTAATATCAATTCACTTTGTACATTTACATAACCCGCCATTTTCATTGTACCATAATAATAATACATGCAAGTATCTGGTAATAGAATATTCTAAAACATACTGGATTGTTTTCTCATGATATGGTTATGTTTACAAACTTCTATTGACTTCACTTTCCAGGCACAAGGTACATGATAACATATACATCTCTACTGATCTGTTTATAGCTCTCAAAGAGTGGAAAAACAGCATTCATATTCTGAAAGTCCAACGATAAACCATTTTGTAATGTTGTTGTAACTTTTGCTCTTACATTGACATGAGGAAGTGGTTAGTAGAAGTGCCAAATCATGGAAGTAAATCTTGATATAGCGATAATATGTAGTGCAACTTGTTCACAATAGTTCAAAATAGTTTATCATCGGACTCGGAACCTGTGTGTTAATTAAGGTGTTATTAAACTATTACATGCTACGGGAGTATTGAAATGTCTAAATTCAGGAAATGAGCACATAATACTAATAATAATTGTACTGCTATTTTTGTAGTTACCAATGCGTTACTATGACGTTCTCAAGTATGTGTTATGCGCTTTAATGCTAACTTTTGTGTTGTTTTCATCTTATATCTAATATTGCCTTATCAAAACAATGGATTTGAAAATGGACGTGCCAGTAATGTTTACATGACAGAGCGGCCTCTAGTGTTGGCTATGCACATTACAGCTGTTTCAAATGGCATGTTCTGTCACTCTTCTGGTTGAGGTAAGGCCTTTCTCTGAGGCCTTTGTTTGGATATCGGGGTCAGTGTAGAAAACGTGTGAACTTTCAAACCGGGTGCAAATCTTTAGTAAAACCTTTCTCTCATGGCAATTATTTGTAGAGCAACTTAAACATGGCCACAAACTGTGAAGGTATGTTGTGATTTACTGTTTACTGTTTACTTTTGTAGTTTTTCTGTTGTTCAATTATTGATACTGGGTCTTGTCAGTCATGAGATTTCACATTGATTTCCTTTGTTGTGTGGTTATCAATGCCATGCCTTTTGTTCAACATTATTTTGGACCAAATCTTTGCCCTTCTATGGAAATCCCAATGCAATGTGAACTAAATGCAGCATGTGACCCTTGTGCGTGTGTGCGTGCAGCGAGGACTAGGATGGTCAGTAGCCAGCCCAAGTACGAGCTGATCCAGGAGGTGGGGCGGGGCAGCTACGGTGTGGTGTACGAGGCCGTGGCCAGGCGCACCGGAGCCCGCATGGCCGTCAAGAAGATCCGCTGCCACTCGCCCGAGAACGTGGAGCTGGCCCTGCGCGAGTTCTGGGCCCTGAGCAGCATCCAGAGCCAACACCCCAACGTCATCCACCTGGAGGAGTGCATCCTGCAGAGGGACGAGCTGGCCCAGAGGATGAGCCACGGATCCAGCTCGCCGCTCTATCTGGAGGTGAGGGCCGAGGTTTTCATATGCAGCTTAAAGGATTTTGTTACTGTTAAATAAGATCAAAATTAGAATTTATTAGTTTTCATTGTGTTGCTGTTTGGATTCAGTCCACTCCACTCCTGGGAAATTTTGTATTTGGATTTCTTCAAAGATATAGGGGCACTAATAACCAAAATGAGATTAGTTTGTATTTTTTATTTTTTTGAACCCCCTATTTCTTTTTATTATCGGCCTCAAAATGCAGTTTGATTTTTAAAGTGCCTAAAACCAAGTCAGATGCCCTTATGAGATAGATTCTGGTTCCAAGCTTCAAGTAGTGGTAGTAGTGTGCTGGTCTTTGAGTGCTTTGGAGTGGACTGGCACATGCCACAGCTCACACTGGACGAGTCTGTCTCGTTTAATTTACGTGCTGTAACAGACTAAAGGTCCGAAAACCGAGGACACATCACAGTGCCACAATAGTCCGATGGGCCGTAGATGTGCGTTCTTCTGTTTGTGGCCAAAGTCAAACTTTAGAACCATGTCCAGTGCAATGTTCTTTGTGTGGTTCAGTACTGTCAACAAAACCATGGGAGCGACAGAACCAACTGTGTGGTCACTTACATCCCCAGCCTTCAGGTTTTTATTTTATTTATATGGATCCATCCATCCATCCATCCATCCGCTTTATCCGTTGCCGGGTCGCGGGGACAGCAGTCTAAGCAGAGATGCCCAGACTTCCCTATCCACACACACTTCCTCCAGCTCGCCCGGGGTGACCCCAAGGCGTTCCCAGGCCAGCTGAGAGACATAGTCCCTCCAGCGTGTCCTAGGTCTTCCCCGGGGCCTCCTCCCGGTGGGACATGCCCGGAGCACCTCCCCAGGGAGGCGTCCAGGAGGCATCCGGAACAGATGCCCGAGCCACCTCAACTGGTTCCTCTCGACGTGGAGAAGCAGCGGCTCTACTCCGAGCTCCTCCCGTGTGACTGAGCTCTTCACCCTATCTCTAATGCCTAGCGTACATCGACAGAGAAACTGGGGACAACTAGTTGCAAGGCGGCTTTTGGCAACTGAGAGGAGATAGTGGGAGATGATCAGTTGCCGAAATCGGTCGATGTGCGCGCTCTTACAACTGGAGATGATCAGTCGGTCTCCAGTTCCAGTCAGTTGCCCGTGTTCTACTTTTCGGCAACTAGTTGTCCTCAGTTGCTCCGATGTGCGCGCTCCATGCGCCGCTCCGACAACGTGTGTGTATTGCGTGTATTGCGAGCCCGCAACAGTTTGTTGTCAGAAAACACACTGTGGTTGAGGCCAGTTGCTGTCGATGTACGCGCTGTTATTCAAGAGACTGGCCTGCGACTCAGAGTTGCCCGTTTTCGCCAGATTGTCGATGTGTGCGGGGCAGCAACTCATATGCGACGGATATAATCAGTTGCCAGTCCGATGTACGCTAGGCTTAAGGGAGCGCCCAGCCACTCTGCGGAGGAAGCTCATTTCGACCGCTTGTATCCGCAATCTCGTTCTTTCGGTCATTACCCACAGCTCATGACCATAGGTGAGGGAGGGAACGAAGATTGACCGGTAAATCGAGAGCTTTGCCTTTCGGCTCAGCTCCCTCTTTACCACAACGGTCCGATACAGCGACCGCATCACTGCGCACGCTGCACCGATCCGCCTGTCAATCTCACGCTCCATTCTTCCCTCACTCGTGAACAAGACCCCGAGATACTTGAACTCTTCCACTTGAGGAAGGACCTCTCCACCCACCTGTAGAGGGCAAGGCACCTTTTTCCGGTCGAGCACCATGGCCTCGGATTTGGAGGTGCTGATTCTCATCCCAGCCGCTTCACACTCGGCTGCAAACCGTCCCAGTGCATGTTGCAGGTCCTGGTTCGTTGGAGCCAAAAGGACAACATCGTCTGCAAACAGCAGAGATGAAATCCTGTGGTCTCCGAACCGGACCCCCGGTTCTATGGGGTCTACTTAAATAATAAATAAATATATTATAGAGCAAATTGTTGGCCTACTTTTATTTTTACCTTAATTTGCTGGACATTCCAATACTATACCTTTGGAGTGAGAATATAACCTGCTTTAGAAAACTAAAAGTTTATAGAAGTTCAAATTTGAGTATGAATTGAATTAACACAATAAAACAAAAATATTAAGGTCAATTATGACAATACACGATTACAAATAATTGTATATAAAATGTATATGAATATAAAATCTGCTCATGATAAAATACTGTATGTATGTATGTGTTAAGTTTCACAACATTTTGGTCTGATGCAACACAAGTTCCTTTTGTTTACCTCTTGTTTTGCTGCCACAAAGGAAAGAACTTCAGACACAAACTTTGGCCCAAACATTAACTCCTTTGTTCATGTAAGGCATTATAAAAGTAAAACGCAAAGCAAATATCAGGAGATATCAGGAGATATCTGTTCTGTGAGGAGCATACTGTGATAACCTTGTATCTTGAACAGACAGATCTTGAACCAGACAGCAATTTTCAAAGCTACTAATTTGCTGCAACTTTCTTTCTTTCTTTCTTTCAATTTATTTAACAGTTAAGAGATTTACAGTTCATGTGCATCACATTAATACTGTACAAGTTATAACAAACAGTAATACAAAACAAAACAAAATCAATCTCAAATTATAACAAACAATACAAAACAAAACAAAACAAAACATCCCCCCTTACCACCACCCCCACCCCCCACATTCACTCTCAGCATCCAGCCACAAACCTTCTGTGCACTGTCCATTCATTCCCATACGAACCTACATATTCACAGCCTCTCACACGCACACGAGCACACACGAGCACACAGGTCACTAGCCACTTCAGTACATCAAGTTACATGACAGAGATAGCTTTCTTTAATATTCTAGCTGCATCTCCTCCGATGTGATTCAGTACAGGATTCCAGATTTCGAAGAAGGTGTCGGTATTTCCTTTTAGAAGATAAGTTAGTCTTTCCAATGGGAAAAGGCTTAAGATATTCTTAAACCAATCAGAGATTCGTGGTCCTGCATCCTCTAACCAGTGCTGCATAATTGTTAATCTTGCACTGTACAAAAGCAATGATATTAATTTTGTATGTAGCCTCAGTTTTGAGTCAAAGTTCGACAGTCCCAGAATGCATTGGAGAGGGCAGGGCTTTACACGGTTTTGAACAATGGATGAAATATTTTCACATACTTCTAACCAGTATTGTTTTGACATTGGGCACGACCATATTAAATGTACATAGGTACCCACATGCTGCTTGCATTGTTTACATAGTGATGAACAGTTCTTATCATATTTATTCCGTTGATATGGAGTAGTTTGTAATTTGTTTATTATTTTAAATTGAATTTCTTGTGACTTGTAACTACAACATATTTTTTTGGAGTTGAGCATGATAGTGCTCCATTGTTGGGTTGTTATACTCATATCAACTTTGAGAAACTCCTCAACAATTGCTCAAATTTTATAATGTGTCTTAATTTGACCACATTTTGACTGCCTTAAAACAAGATTTGCCAAAGGGACAAGCAAGATTAACTTGTTTTAAAAAGATAAATGAAATGTCTCCCCTGGAATAAGAACGTTCTTGACATAAGACTAAATGTCCCAGTGGCAAATCATGTTTTGCCAATGGGACATTCAGAATGACTGTCAGAATGTAACAATTAACTACAGCAATTATTACCAAATATTTTATCATTTTTTGCAGTGTATAACTTATTTTTTCTCTGGTTTATTGTTTGGGGGTTGTGCTCATTGATGTCACTCTTTTGCCCCTGCAACCTTTGTCCTTGTTTTGACACGAATGAACAAGCGTCTCAAGTCGTGATCTCCTTTGGCTGAGTGCCGGTTCAGGTCACTGTGCTCTTTTGAGGCGTGTCTGTCAAATGAAGAATCTCGTTACGTTTGCGCCGCTCCAAGAATATACAAGCATATAATTATGATCTCACACAACATCTGTGCGAGGGGGCGGCCTGTGGCGCAGATCACCTCCAGTCACATGTTTCTCTACTTGCCACAATTTCGTCTGCTCGCAAATGTATATAGGTGACGATTGACCCTTAGATGGACAATTCTCTTTGTCCTTGTATTGTTTTTATTATAAGCCTTCCACCATGTAAGCCAGAGGTGTATACACTTTTTAGGGCTACTTTCATTAACTAGACTTGTCCAGGGGTATTGTTAAAACTGTTTTGACTGGATTCAGCCTTATTTTAGCAGTAGATGAGTTAAAGTTGGCTGATTGTAAACTTCTATAGTTTGCTACATGAGTTGTATTTGCATTATTGGGAGGCCATTTTTGCAAGTACATGTTGAAATAGTCAAAATCCATGACAGAACTGAAGCTTTACATATATACTTTATTGATCCCTTGTAGGAGAAATTCAGATGTCCAATAGAAACTCATCAGTACATCAAAACAAAACAATTAAAGCTAAAAGTAGCTAAAAATAGGAATAAAATAAAAATGCAGACGCACATTGAGGTATCTGTTATATTGGCAGAGATTGAGAAGAAGAAGACACTGAATGTATGCTTATGATTTGCACTGACTAATTTTGGGTCAGCAAAGCAGAGGAACACAGGAAATGACACGGCAGACCGCAACTGGCTCCTGGGCTTTAGTTTGGTCAGGTTTGATGTAAACAGGTCTAAAATGTGAGTATACACGGTACACTCATAAGTATTTGAAGTACATGGAGGAGAGAGAGTGATGCCCTCAGCGCAGAGCAGGTGATGGGAGTGAGGGTATATGTATCTTAGTCTGAGTTTACACGGAGACTATGTGGCAGTAAAACGCTATAGTTGGATTTCGGTTGCAACCAACCGTTCATTCCAGGGTGGTCAAAACGTAAGTATTCAGATCCAGCCTGCAACTCCCCGCACGTAAATTTGGACTTGCGCAGTAGTGGAGAACAAACATAAACAACAATGGCGGCGGGTGCACTAACTAGCTTCGTGTGCTTCGAGGGCTGCACTGAGGATAATTCTACTCCTTCGT